TAATTAACGTTGACGTCTATAAAGTTTATTTCGGTTTGAAAGTACGAATGTGTAAAGCGGATGCTCGGATGAGCAACGTTGTATCGATATATCAAGTCCACCAGCTCCTCCTCAGTGTGCGACCAGACAATAAATATATCATCTATAAACCTTTTGTATATTAGCGGCTTTACGGGACATTCAGAAAGGAACTGAGATTCTAATTTCCCCATAAACATGTTGGCATAGTTCGGGGCCATTTTGGTGTCCATCGCGGTTCCGCTAACCTGCCTAAAGTATTCATTGTTAAATTCGAACGTGTTGAGTTCTAAGACAAGCCTCGCTAGAGTAGCGACGACGTGTCCATCTGCGGTATCCGGTTGTTTGTGGAGTTCGTATATGTCAATTAAAGAAATTATTCTATCATCGTGTGGGATATTCGTATACAGCGATGACACATCAAGTGTAACCAGGTATGATTCTTTTGGTATGCATAAATTTGATATTTCCCTTAAGAAGTGAGTTGTGTCTTTAACGTACGAATCGAGATTTGTAGGTATATGTTTAATTAAACTGTCTACATATCCTGATATGGGTTCGGTTACTGCACCTATTCCGGATATAATTGGGCGCCTTGGGTTACCAAGTTTTTGGATCTTAGGGAGCATGTAAAAGCGGCCTGGAGACGGCTGTACCGGTTTCATTAATTTATGTTCGTTAGCGGTCAGTCTGCCCTAGCTCGTCTAGGAGATCCTTAAGGACCGCGGTCACAATCTAAGTGCGGTGCACCGTAGGGTCATCTGCGAGAGGTTGTCTGGTCTGCGTATATATATATATATATATATATAGGTAACTGAGAAGAAAAAAAACCTTGGTGAAAACAGCAGCAACGGACGATTTATTCTTTGACGTTTCGGCCGGACTCCGGCCGAAACGTCGAAAGAAATATGCCATATATGAGCATATGGTCTAAAGTAAAACAATTTAACGCTTAAGACAAACGGGAAGGTGAACTATGGTAAGAAAAAGATTGCGTTATCTTTATTGGGGCACTTATTTTAGGTTGGGCAAAAGTAACATTTTAAGATAAGTTTTTTTTCTGTATCTTGAATCATGTCTTACTTAGTAATGCGTATTGCCTCGAAGTAATGTGCATATATATATATATATATATATATATATATATATATATATATATGTGTGTGTGTGTCTGTGTGTCTTGAGCTGATTTATGCCCGTCTTAAGACTTCAGTACTTACCACCGAAATCGGTTCGTTAGCTCAATATTGGTTACACAAGCACTACCATACGGCAGCTTTATATATTTCTAAACGCGTTGCCTGTATGAAGAGGCGTGTCGGACAACGCTCGGCCTCCTGAAAATAAAGATAAAAATACGCACAAGGGGCGAAGAAGAAATCGAGTATTTGAGTGGCTGAAAGAGAACCTTGCTGAAGATTTACGTTTTCAAACGATAGTTATGCTAACGGTCCTGCTAAAGCCTGGCAATAGGCTCGCAAAGGTAAAAATAAAGATTTAGACGAAATTAAAATGTATTCAATTTAACATTAAAAAAGCATTCTTTTTTTTTTAAACTCCGATAAAATATCGCCTAATAATTGTAAAGATGTTTTCGTACAAAGCTAAAGAGACCGTACTTTCTAAGGCCTACAAACTCAAAGGAACATAATTTTCCGTGAGTGAGGATTTCATACCGTCAGTGCGCCTTGCGCGGCGAAAGCTATTAGAATTTGCAAAAACCACAGGATCTACCGTTCAAGCTGCGCTGCGACTAACTGCTCATTGGAAATAAGTGCTATATCTATGTGCCTCAAACAGACTGTGTCAGTGAATTTAACTCCCGCTGACCAGAACATAATTTAGCTAGACGTAACGTCGGAATTATTAACCGTGCTTCCGCTCATGAGCCAGAACGTGACGTCTTAAGTCCTAATCAAGCTTCAGCTTCGTCATAACGCTCTAGGAGGGGTGAGGCTGCTACTACCAATACTTTGCCTAATAATAATATTTCCATTCTTTTCACCAAGATTAAAAGAATTATGAATAAACGGGACAATCTGTCATCAGTTGTGGACTCTTCTAACGCGACATTGTCGTGTTAAGCGAGACATGGTTGTCCAGCAAGATACGCAACTGTGAAATTTCGCACTGTCAGAGAAGTTTCAACTTCTATCGTCACGACAGGAAAGAAAGAAAGGGTGGCGGGGTGTTAGTCGCGGTAGCAGAAAATCTACCTTCGTTTCACATCAATATTGTTTCAGAACTCGAGCTACTATGGGTTAATCTCCAGTTAAAAAATTAAAAAAAAATATTTTAGGCGTGCGTTATCGCCCTCCTTCTAGCAGTACCGCGTTTATAACAAATCTTCACAATGCGATTAACGCAGTCATTGTTCGTTTCCTGAATGCACCGATACTACTGTTGGGTGATTTTAACTATCCATCTATAATATGGTCAGACGAGGGTACAAACTTTAGCCACTTTTCTTCCGAATATAGTGAGTATTTGAATCCTTGTTTAGATCTAAATTTTTCTCAAACTATTACAAAACCGACGCGTACGACTTCAACAACTGCTGCTGTGCTTTACCTTATATTAACAACATCGCTTGAGCTGATCTCCTCGTTAACTTACATACCTGGTCTCAGTGATCATTCCTTTCTACATTTTTTGTTATACATTCCTGGACGCAATAAGTACAATCAGACGAAAACATTCTTTGACTATGCTAGGGCTTATTTTGATTCAATCAGCAATGAACTTTGTCGTTTTCTAGGGCACTAGATAGGTTGTTTTGATGAGCGCTCAGTTGATGATAACTGGTATATATTTAAAGAAAAAGTTTCGTCACTGATGAACGCCCATGTTCCTTTTCGTGTGGTATCTTCTCACCAGAATCTCCATGGTACAGCGTGACACTGAAAAAGCTGTCAAATAAAAAGAAACGATTATTTCGTTCTGCAAAGCTATCGGACCATGTACAACCCCGGGAAGCCTACCATGCTGCAGCTAAAGTACATAAGAAAGCAGTCGAATAGGCAAGATTACATTACTTTAACAGTACGCTGCCGTCGATGTTACTTAACAATCCGCGTCAATTTCGGAAAGTTATTAACCCTCCTTCTAGTCCCGGTTTAGTACTTAGGGACACCCATGGAGAGGAGGTGCCAAGTGAAGTATGTTCTTTTTTTGTTGAATGATGTGTTTGTTGGATCTTCTTCGTGCACGGTAACCTCAAACGGTCCGGGTCCGGAATTTAGAACTTGTGATTTTTTGCCCATGTTTCCTGTTATCATACACTGCGAAGGTATACCTAACAATATTGAAAACCTTAAAACCAATACGACAGCAGGCATTGATAATATTAATGCTAAGTTTTTGAAAAACACTAATACGTACTCATGGGTTATCTTATCTAAATTATTTTCGCAATCACTTGAACAAGGAGAATTACCAAAGGATTGGAAGGTGGGGAAGGTGATCCCTCTCCACAAAGGGTGCGATAAGCATAACCCTTGAAACTTTCGTCCCATTTCTTTAACGAGCATTCCTTGTAAAATCCTTGATCACATCATTTACACTAACATTTACAATTTTCTAGACTCAAACTCCTTTTTTAACTCAGCGCAACATGGATTTCGAAGGTTTTATTCATGTGAAACTCAACTCCTAACCTTTACTCGTGACCTCCACGTAATACTTGACCGGGGTTCCAGGACTGACTACATATTTCTTGATTTCTCAAAAGCTTTCGACAAGGTTCCTCACGCGCTGCTGCTTCATAAACTCTGTAAACTTAACATAGATCTTAATATAATCGCTTGGATAGAATCGTTTCTATCAGACCGTTACCAATTTGTTCACGCCAACGGAACTAATTCTTCAACCTCACGTGTCAAGTCCGGTGTCCCACAAGGTTCGGTATTAGGTCCACTTTTATTTCTTATATATATTAACGATCTTCACACGCATGTATCCTCTTCCATTAGCCTATTCGCTGATGACTGTGTAATTTATAAAGAAATCATTAACGACGCTGACATATCTGCTCTTCAGACCGATATTAACAACGTCACCCGCTAGTGCGATAATTGGCTTATGGAACTTAACACCTTTAAATGTAAATCTATGAGAGTGTCCCGTCAAAATAACACTTGTCCCTCCTACTGTATTAAACCCACCTTGCTTTCTGTGTCAACCTATAAATATCTCGGTGTTCATATAACTAACGATCTCTCCTGGAACATCCATGTCGAATATATCACTAACAACGCTAATCGCTTATTAGCCTTTTCCTTCGACGTTGCATAGTCCTGCACAAAAAAAAATCTCGTTGAGTTGCCGATTGTAATATTTCACCACATTGCAACCAGAAAGTCTAGTCGGTATTGGTATTCTTGGTGGACTTTTTGTTCCATGTGGTGACCTGGGAAAAAGGTACGTCTATCGCTGAACGGCACGGGTATATGTGTCGGTACAGAAATCCGTGAAACATTTATATATACATATATTTATATATGTAGCCTATAATAATAAGAACGACCCGAGCACAACAAAATCGCTTATCTATTCAATCAGAACTATATATTCAACAGCGCAATATTATTCATAACCGCCGATTTTTGCCTTCCATTCGAAGGTGTGTGAGATAGATTTAAGAGCAGGCCGAGTTGTTGTAGGACGATTTTTCGTGTAAAAAAATAAAACTTCTAAAGCCGTTAAAAGAAAAAAAAAAAAAGCTTTACCCTAATTTTTACCGCAGCCCAACATCATCTGACAAGTTTAGAAACAGGAACACTTACCCGAAGAAAATGTTTGTGCTGGGATGATGTCGCGTTGAGCTGTCGATCATGGATTTGGCGTTATACGTCACACAGACACACACATACCTCATTTCATGATTAATTTAAAGCAAGCACGAACTGAAAAGTTAAATATTTACACTCTTGCAGTCTGAAGGAGGAATCTTTGACCGGCAAAAGCCACATAACTATACTATATCCGGATCGATTGGTGACACATTGAATCTGTTTATTCCCAAAAATTGTTCTTCAAACACGCACCCAACGAGTCAGGAGATGCATCACTCCTCCTGCCGCTTACTGCCAGCTCTAATGGGCGTGTAACACGACTGCGAGAAAATCCGTCATATTTGAGAGTTGATGGCATAAAGAGTGGGACGTGATGGTATCAGAGTTTTCCATGGAATCTAAAAAAAAGTTACTGTTCGTTTTCCATCCTTGGATAAAAATAATATATTGCCAAGAAAACGTTTTTTTATCGTATGGATTGTGGCACGGTTACCACTTTTCTTGTCACTGATTCGGCGCACTCATAGTCCGGTGCTTGTCTTGACGATCCACACCTGGTTATCTTCTTTTGGATAAATGGACGATATTTGAAGTTGCATTGCCTCTTCGGGAGTCGCCATGGCGGTTGAAGGGCATGCGTCGTCCACAACAACATCTTTCTTCGTTTCATGCCCTGCAAGATGATACAGAGGTGAATATTTTAGGTTGTAACGCCATATATTAGTTACCATCTGTACTGCACCCCTCTTCCACCTGAAATTGAAAAATTTCAGTTAGGATGGCACTAACGAAATTGGTATTGCGAAACTTGTCATGTAGTAGCTAGCATCCTTCTGTTAATATGATAATTAAAGAATACTGGTAAGAAAATGAGGTCAGCGATCTACAAGGAATAAATATATATTTTTGTATATTCAAGCGTATTGGTCGAATATAAAAAAAATCAAAAACTGCTTTTTCATAGAAGTAAAAATAATAATGAGGTCTGTAATTAATATATTTTGTCTGTAACAACAAGTTAATACCTTATTTTTGACAATATTGGCTACAAGAAAAGATATATTTTGTTTGCTCCCCCCCTAAAAAAACACTTGGTAGCTAAAAAAAACGAAATAGGTTTAGCGGTTTAAGCGTTGCTTATAAGGTAGGTGATATTTTACCACTCTTAGTCTTCAAAAGTTCCTTTGCATTTGTTGAAAACGTTTAAACAATTAAACCACCCTCCAAAATAGTATGTATCAATGAATAATTTGGACGTATTATATATATATATATTTTTTTTTTTAATTTCAACCAATAAAATAGTTTTCCGCGTGACAAAATGCTTCTCTAAAAACAACTATTAGTATAATTTTTCAGTTATTACTTAGGTTACAATAGTTATTTTGGCTGGGACGTACAGCGGAATAATTTCAAAATCGTCGGCACATTTCGATTCTTAATCATCGCCTACACTTCTCAAAGTGGCATGAAAATCTTGTTATATAAAAATAAAGTACCAGAAATGGCAAAAGTTTTATGATATGTTACTTTCAAATTGCGTCTCAGAACAGGCTTACTCGTAATGGGGAGGCTTTTTCCTTTCAGCATGACCACAGCCAGAACCAACACGGGAACAAGACAGAGCAGAGCCACGCTTGAGATCACTGTCAGCAGAAGGACACTTGATGTGACCTTCAATGTATTCCCTAGGATAAAAGTAATTTTATTAAGGGTGGCGTTTCTTCATCTGTCTGAGTTTTATTCCTCTGACAGATTCAGCGTAAAAACAAATTGTAGCCGCTTTCGACGAGGCGCGATAGAAAAAGACGAAGTGCCCGCTCGAGGACTGCGTACTGGCAGGCACGAGACAAGTATAGAAAGGTAGTCGCCTTCAATTAAGTATTTACTCTATTTACATGATCTTAAGTCTGAGACGTGTCCAGCTGAGCTTGTGGGTGCAGATAGACTTGTTGGTGTCATCCGTCTCGTGCCTGCAGGGATGTGTCTTCGCGCGGGCACTTTGCAATTTCCTTTCACTCCTCGCCGGGAGCCGCTATGGCACCCTTCAATTTATTCAACCCAGAGATACATATATAGTGTGCCCTTCATTAAAAGGGTCATGAAACGATATCGGGTTGGAATGTTCATGACTTTGCAGAGGCGTACTGGTTCTAGTCTGGCCCAACAATACTGGCACAGATCGCCACTGACTCAGAACCTTGTTTGTCGCGGTGAAATTGCGAGGATAAAAGGAGAGTGTTTCTTTTAGTCGTGCCTTTGCAAAGCTTGATGACGTAATTGTGGGATCGACACCCCCCGCCTGATGACAGTCGAGCATGGCTCGTGGACTGGACACGAGAACTGCGTGAGCACTCGACTTCGGCTCGTAACAATCAGCGCCTCGGCGGACACTCGGGTAGTTGTTCGTGCCCAACCGCTGCGGTGATGCGAGTAGACGAACTCGAATAATGCCTGAAGCTCAGCACGCGTTTTCTGCAACTTCAACGACAGTGCGCGGCTATGAGCAATGTTGGCGCCAGAGGATAGACACCAGGCCACGTGGCCGCTTGTTCTGGCTCCGAGTTGAGGGGATGAACGAAGCTTATATTTCTCGTATTTTCTTTGGCGACTGTTATTGCCTAGAAAGTTAAACAAAGGCAAGTTTATTCTGTTATTTAATTCTTAGGTAGTGATTCTTAGTAGTACTAACGCGAAAGTAGAAAAATTGTTTCGTGACCCCTTTAAACTCGATATTCCGGACTTAATGACGAAGGCTCATGTTTCTGGTTTACACCGATAAACCATGAAAAGCAAGCGCTTGGTCCTTATCATCAAAATGAAAGCAAATACAAAGATCGCGAAATGAAGCCCTCCTTAAATAAATAAAGCCCAAGCTTCGTGTAAACTATTTTGATAAGAAAAGCTTTATTTCGTGCTGACTCGGAGCCCGCATTTAACGGTCCGGAGGGTATAGAGCTTCTTTTTTTTTTTTTAGGAACCACGCCCCTTATTTCGATTGCTTATAATAATAATAATAATAATTATTATTAATATTAATAATAATAATAATAATAATATATTAATAATAATATTAACCTTTTGTTCATAGAAATAAACAAATACATATACCGGTCTGCCTAATCCAAAAGAGGTTCGTGTGGCATGACCTGGTAGTACAGCTTATTCCTTGCAGAAATAGCAGGTTTCCATATAACTCACTGAATTTCAACTACAAATCTTTTACTTGGTGGTGTCATGAAATATATTTTTCAGACTGTCTTCGAAAACATGATTAGAATTAGTTAAGAATAAATTATATGGTAGTTCATTAAAATCTTCGGTACGTAAAATGACCTAATGCTTTCCCCATAATGAGCATAGATGAGAGGAATTTCTTTGCGGGTAGTGTTCTAACATGACATAGGTCCACCCTCTCAGTTTTAAAATGACTGCACCAAAAGTGACGAAAAAAATCGTCTGAAAAAAATAACAGATAGAAATAAGTATATTTGAGTAAACTAAATAAGTTATCTCCTGAGGAAGGTGTTGAACAATAAGTAACGCTTTTTAACATCCCTTCAGAACGCTATTAATTCTGGCGTGCCATTGCCGAGAGTAGTTAAAAAATATAGTTACACTATACCTAAGTACACTGTATGCCAAAGAGTGCATGAGCATTTTTTACTTGCAAGCGGAAAGAAGACTTTAATTTATAGAGCTGATAAGATACACTTCTTAGACGTTTCGACACAAAAGAGAGTTGCGTTGTCTAAGACAGGTCACACTCAAATTATATTCCTAGATACTTGGCAGGAGAGACATATTGAACAGGGTTGCAACAGCATTATACACAATTGAAGTTGTACAAAAATAACGGCAGAAACAATTTGATTGTTTCCACGGGCTGCGGAAGAACACCAGCTTTGTTTGAGGTGTTTACACTTATTCTGTTATTTCTAAATCAATTCATGGCATCAATGACATTTTTTTGCAGGTCGAGGAAGGCATGTTTGATATCGGCATGACAAGGAAAAAGCAGAGCGTCATCTGCATGTTGCAATACTTAACACTTAACCACTGGAGAAAGGTCGTTAATATATACATTAAATAAAAGTGGGTATAAAAGGGAACCTTGTGGAACTTCAGAGCTAGGTGTGGCCTTTGTACTGTGAACTCCTCCAACAGACACGAGTTAAAAACTTGCACACAAATCATTTCAAAACAAATGAGCAAACGAACCCCTGAACCCAAGGTGAAATAAGCTTATATAGTAAACTGTCAGGATTCACTGAAACAAATGGTTTTGAAATACACGGCAGAATCTCAATGAGTTGATACGAGGACAACTGATTGTGCGGGCCGCCTTTATAGATGTGTACTACGATTGCAGTTTTAAGGTCGTCCAAATTCGGGTTTGCCGCAAAATTTGGCGGATAAAGTGACTTCACGCACCTATGTGCTTACCATAAAGGTCTCATTATTTGTTCCCTGGAGGATAGAAAATAAAATCATGCCCATGTGCTGTTTTTCTTTTACTTTTTTTAACGTAAAACATTTTCTTTCTTCCTTATGCGAAAGGGGGGAGAGGGAATAAGGCCAAATACTTTGTGAAGGCACGGATTATCTGGATGCTGATTTGGCTGAGCACGACGTCACGTATGACTCACACCCTAGCTTGATGCTGATTGGTTGATTTTTTCTTAAGTCATGATTATTGTAAGTGTCTCATTTCAGGAAATGCTATCAAGTGTACATGCCATTCGATAATACCCTAGGTACAACACCCAGGAATGCATGCGCCGAACGAGCCAAGGAAGCACACCGAAGTCACCGAGATACCGGAAAGGTACACGTGCAACAATTGTTTTTGTTTTTTTTCAGCGTCATTGGGTAGTTTTTTTTTTTTTTTATTTCATGACGGCGAGAGTGTAAACGCCGCCAGTTTCCTCGCTAAATTTGGCAGAAAAATTGGCGTCACGGGATATATGCACCAATTTAGTTTCCAGCCAAATGTGAAGGGAAAATTGATGTAACGTGACCTGACGTCACGAGATCTGCACACAAATTCAATTCATCCGCTATATTTAGCTGAAAATTTGACGTCACGTGAACTGTGCACCTATTCAGTTTCTTCACCAAGTGCAGCGGGAAAATTGATATCACGTTACCGGGCGACACGGGATTGGCATACAATTGAGGTTCCCCGCAAAAATTTCCTGATAAAGTGCTGTCAGATAACCTATCTACTTACCAATTCAGTTTCCCCACTAAATTTGGTGGGAAAACACATCACGACCTTTAAATAATTTATTTGTGAACAACATTTTCGTGCTAAATCAACGCAAGGTCATTTGAAGATCAGATCACCGTATGACGCACGATCGGCAAAATGTCAATCGATCGTCATCGCCAAATCGTCCAAAAAGCAGCACAGCTATCGCTGTCTAAACAGATCACATCGTGCAATCATTGCGCTTTTTTTTTCACTATCACCTTAATGAGTGATCCTTAATGAAAATTTACACCAAAAATACCGAATACAGGGTAACAATAAACCTAAAAAACAAATACTTCCCAATTCGAAAGAAAACTGAATCTTAAAATCACGAAACAGTATAACGTACTCGTTCGCCCTTAAGCTGAGACTAGAAGCTCCGCCTTCAGCGCGAGCTTTCTGCCCTTGCTCACACAAGCGTGAACGCGCAGGCACGCGCAACCCAAGGACTTTGGAAGCCCGCGAGATCGCGCTGAAGGCGGATCTTTATGGGTAAACGGAGCATAGGCATGGGCCTTCCACAAATAAATAGTTTAGCCGGTACCGGGATTTCCAATTGACAGACCTGGCTTCGTGAGCTTTCCCACGAGGGGCATGATAGGAGTGAGGATGGTGAGTTCCTGGCTTCGGCCCAGCTCGTTGGCGGCCCACACGACCAGGAAGTACTCGACCCCAGGCCGGAGATCGTGCACCCAGAAGTCCGGCCGGTCGGCCGTGAAGTTGGCCAACAGCGCGGCCGTCGCGGCTTCGTACACCGAGAGCTGGAATAGGGCTTGAAGATAACCATCAGAGCCGGCCTGACACTCGAGGTGAATGGAGACCTTGGTCTGGTTCGTGATGGAACAGTTCTCCACGGGGCCCGGGGGACCTGCGTTTGAAGGAGCGTAATAGGCGCAGACGAGTTGTGGGAGCGGCCCAAATGTTTCAGCTCTCAAACTGCATATACAGGGTTTGCCATGATGATTTTAAACCGAGACTGGAGCAGAACGAAATAATGTTTCTACTGGAAGAGAAAGTCACAGGGACAGACAGCCTCTCCACGAAAGTAACAGGGACGGACAGCGTCTCTTGAGACTCTGCCTGTCCTTGTTACTTTCTCTTCCACTGAAACAAATGCCCTTCCACTTCCCTAGTCTCGGGTTAATATCATCATGGTAAATGTCCACCAGCTCGCCAGCGTAATTACCGTAATATCATATACAGGGTGTTTCATAAAAATCCCACAAATTACACTTTGTAAAAGCTACGCGGCGCACGAAAAAAAGATGTTGATGTCAATTTGGTACCTGCCAAAAGGCCTATTGAGAAAGAATGTAAACGTTCGATATGGTTTAGTCATTCATTATTTTCGAGTAATTATCTTCTTTAATTATTAGATTTAAGCGCATGGTTTTAATTAGAAAGTTTCTCGGTGTCATCCAATAACACTAAATCCATCCACATTACAATAGTGTAAAGCACGCGCAGAGCTATATGGCTTTCCGAAGAATATTCAGTTTGGACCGATTTTTACGTTTCGGTTTCTCGGCGGGGCGCATCTTGACGCTAGCAATATCGCTCCCTGTGGTCAAAACGCACAACGTGCGTGCGCCGCCACGCACCGCACGTAGAGGTGCGTCTGCAAGATGGCACCGACGTCAAAAAGGCGCGAAACTCATGTGGCACCCTGTAGGCCTTATCTAAACTCTTCCACTTCCGATGAGTGACGGTGCAGCGTCTTTCCCGCCGGCAATCCCGGGAGCGGGATTGCCGGCGCGGAGATGCGCTTCTATAAAAGACCGAAACCTAGAAAGGAACTCAAATTGAGTATCTTTTTTTCGGAACGCCGTAAACTCTTGCGCTGCCCTATTTTATTGTAAGGTGGGGTCATTTAGTAGTCTTTGATGATGCACAGCGAGTTTCCAGTTGAAACAAGGCCTTTAAATAAAAAAAAAATTAAGTTAAGTTCTCGAAAAATATTGAATAACCTAATTATTAAGCTCTTTATTAATTTCTTAAACAGGCCCCTAAACAGGGGAAAACAAAACACATTTTTTGTGTGCGATGCGCAGGCTTTGCAAAATTTAATTTGAGGGAGTTTTGCTAAACTCCCTGTGCATCCCTTGCACGTAAACCAATTTAGTTAACCTCCCTTTTTCTCCTCCTGCGCTAGCACTGTTCTTCGTCCTTTAAAACAAAAAAAAAGAGAAGAAAAAAAGACAGTTCAGAATAACGGTGGCTACATTTGAAAACGGGCGAGGTCTCCTAGATGGTCTTAAATGCCATTAGTGGGTGGGGAAGCGCGGTAATAATATATAGGATGTTTCTCAAAACGTGAGCCAAATAGTTCCTGGGAGAACTACTCATCGCACAGAAAAAAAAGACTAATGTCATATTGACCTCTGCCAGACGGTCAATTTGGGAAAATTAACGTTTTATATAACGAGTTTATGAACTATTTGTGGGTAATTAACTTTTTAATGAGTGAATTTGTACTTGCGGTTTCAATTGGAAACTTGCTAAAAATCGTCAAAAGCGGCTAAATGAACATATTTTAGAAATATAAGATACGCGTACAGCCTTTTTGCTGCATTCGAAAAATATGCCCGATTTGTACGCGTTTCTAGATCTCGGTTTTCTATAGGAGCACATCTTTGCGCCAGCGATCCTGCCCTCTAAACTGCCTCAATAATATTCACGTTTTGAAGTACCGCCAACCATTTCTGTGGAAACTTTGGTCTTGACACCGGGACCGAAACGAGGGACTTTGGGCTTGACACCGTGACCGAGGCGCGCAGCTACAGCTTCGTCATATTGTAAAATAAGGAATATTAAGATTGTATAACGCCCTGCCTATATTCCTTTGGTTGCTTTATAATCACACCATAACGCTGAAAAAAAAAAATTGGTCACATTGAGACACCTCGGATTTTCTCGCGTATATATTGAGAAGCTTATTCCTAGAATTAATTGTTCTGCGCTTCGTGCCTTTTTGTGCTAACATAGTGAAAGAATCGTTGACGATACTCAATAAAGGGCCATAAAGTAACCACCGTTGTGGAACCAAGCCGGAAAAAAGGCAAGCTATACCTTGGAGCCTATATAGTTTTCCGCAGTAAACGATTTGTTTGTGACTCATCACTCGCCCAGATACATTGATGTATATCAGTGATAGGTTATCCTCGAACTTTTTTCGAAAACTGGACCCATTCGAATGTTCACAGTATATCTTGCCACACTAAACACGCGACTGCTCGTCAACTATCTCCCAAAATCCAAAAATATAAACTATAAAAAAATAGAAACCAGATGTCTTGTTCGTGCAATTGGCATCACCACGACAGAGAGGCAGGAACGAAAGGAACACAAAAACCCACCGGCCTGCACGATGTGGAAGACACAGGGAATCTTCTGCTGGCCGATGCGGTTGGATGCAAAACACAACAGCGTTCCGAACTCGGTTCTGCCATGAGGAATATAGTGTGCAACGCTCCTGGTGCCATGGTTGGTGAAGCTCGTGACGGTACGATTTTGGAGGGTACTGTTGAAGCGCCATTCGAACGTCACATTGCTCGGATCTGCCTCCACGTCGCAGTGCACCTCCACTTCCTGGTGTCGAGAGGCTGCGTACACTACGGTCTGCTTTTCCCTGCACAGCGGGGCGTCTGTGGAAGAAAACACGGGGTTTGGGATGTAGCAGATAGGCGAAAATTCGAACAACGCGGACATATGCGTAATAGTTACCGTGCTACTTTATCTCTACAGTAAGAAAACGACGCTCAACAGAGCGTCATTTATTGGAAAATGACACCTATTGAGCCCAGTACACTTTTTGTTCACGTCCGTGCAACGTTACAGATGTTTTTGTAACACAACTTATCTCCCCCTCCCCTCCCCCCCCCCCCCTTTTCAATCTGCAGGTCCGCCGTTTTGACGTTCAGATCAAAAGTAAACGGCTAATAAAACATTCAAACACATACTGCAGCGCAGCTGAATGTTTCTAGTGTATCAACACTCCAACGCTTTGTTTGGAAATTACGTGATTACGCTGCAATTCCCGGAAAAATATAGCTACTCTTTGGGTTTTAATTGAACCGCGTAGGGCAGACATACTGAGTGGGCAATTGGGCAAGTATTCTTCTGTGGAGGACTTGTTAAAAGCCAGTCGACGTCAAAAGCCATTAAAAACGCCAGCATGCCTAACACTTTTGGACAAGTCATAACTAGCTTACTGGCATTCGGAAGCTTTCGTGCATAAGCATTAGACGTACACTTTTCTCTGTATTCTCAGCTGGTATCAAATTCGCCGGCACCAGCCAAGCAGAAAATTCGATTTTCTAATTTATTCCGTACAAGTGGACCCCATATAAGGAGTCACTCTTCAATATTTCACTGCCTCTACCCTAAAACTTAAGTTAAATAAAGCAAGTATAAAGTTAAACTGTAGCTTACTTCCTGAAGCAAAACTGGTACTGGAATTCAAATGTGACTAATGAATCAGACTCACGTTGCACGCGAAGCTGCAAATTTTCTCCCTGTGTGCGTCCCAGAGTGTTTTCTGCACTGCACGAATAGAATCCCGAGTGATGCCTCTGCACTCGTTGGATCACCAGGAAGGTCTTGCTTATTATAAGATTCTCGGAGGCCAGCAGGTCTTGTCCGCTGAACTGCCAGCTGACTTCGTCCACGGCGGGATACGCGTCCACGTGACACTCCAAGTAAACGTCTGAGTTCTCCTGGATCTTCTCAGGATCCAAGTTGGTACCGAGTTGCAGAGAGATCACCGGCTTGTCTACAAATATAATAGAAGCACTTAAGGTCACTAAGATGGCCTTACAATTTGTAGGGCTCCGATATTTCAAGAAATACAGTTAAGAAAACGCACTGATGATTGCTAGTGCCTACAAGGGCTAAACAACTAGAGGTGCATATTTTTTGTATGTTTCTGGGGCTTAGCATTTCAATACGTTTGCATTTATTTGTTTACTATCTTCTTCACCTGAGTAGGTTTGTTTTTGAAAGTGCAACATAAGAAATGTTTGTATACATATATACAACTAAAGTAAGAGTCAGATGTCATGGCAATTAGCATTATTGCTCCACGCATATTAAATTATATTATAGTTATTCCTGATTTTAAATGCGGCACACGCCCTTGGCATCGGGAGACGTATTGATCGGCATTGACTTGAAACAGAATAAACAAACATGTTCGTCTTATTAGAGTCTATTATTATGGTCCTAAGTCGGTAAGGTTAACTATATGGGTTAATGTGTTATTTAGACAAAAATGTTACAAGTCTTTCTAATATTCCTCAATCGTTTTTATGAATGATCTTGGTAGACTCATCGGCATTTTTACTTTATTCAGTCTTCTAGGTATCATTGTTTTGTTTAGGCCTGTTTACTACGAAACGTTTTACTACGTTTATCGTAAAAGCATTATTGAAGTGTTGCATATTACATTGCACATCCATCCTCCACGTATCCTCTTCAACGCTCTCGGCCATGGCGGGGTTCTTGGCGCGGCAGGCGAGGTTCGAGCCGTGGTCCTCGCTGGCGGGCGTGAAGGACACGACGCTGGTGGTCACGTTTCCGTCCGTGGACACGTACACAAAGGTGTGGTTCAGCTGCTGCAGGCCCTTCCACCACGTGACCACTGGAGGCGGGCGGGATCCCCACACCTCGCACACGATCTCGGCCGGAAGACCCGCCGATATTGGGCTTTCTTCTCGACGAATTCTCACCGCGATGGGACGTACTGTAACAAAATAAATAAAAAGATGTGTTCTTGTACCATAGGTGACACGAGACATTTCTTGAACATTCCAGAACGTGTAACTAAGAAATTAACAGGTAAATTTACCAGAATTAATGCGTCTGGTGACCGCGAATCGACAAAAATACCAAACTCACTTGGATTCCGCAGTATTACATTCCGTATACAGTAACCACATAAACTGCTTTTGCGAAAGCGTTTAAAAATAAATTTTGCTCTGTTAGTACCTGGTGCAAATGACTCTTGATTCCGGTGACGAATGTTTTGAATGGAGACCTGGCTCACCGAGAGTGACTCACAACAATATCAAATGTCACTGGGTATAAACAAATATTTGATTTTCAAATAGGGACTGCAATATATAGCTGGCTGAATACGATTACTTTATAGGCTAGATATAAGGAAGAAAAGACAATATACACAACGTCTCAACCATTGCGTAAACATTTTATGTTCCTATGGCCTTGGTTTTTCACGATGTGAAAGTATCAATGTTTATAAGGCCGCACACCTGGGCAGAGCAGCTCAAGTTCTTAATCAGTGGTATTTTTATTTGTCTCACGCGTCCGAGCGAACAGTAACAAGTATGCGCCTAAAAGTTACTTACGATTGAGATCCAGCGTGACTGAGGTGGACGCCGGAGAAGATATGTTATTCGACGCGGTGCACATCAGCGTTGCACCAATGTCTTGTCTCCTTAGTATATGAATGAGCAATGTTGAAGTGGTCAGCTGCTCTTCGGACGTGGACCGAATCTCCGCCATCATGCCTTCCGGAATTCCGCTCCACACAAGCGTGGGCTTGGGCTTGCCTTCGGCAGAAAAAAAGGACATATAATGCTTAATATTTCTCTTATATGAGCTCACGCGCATGCTTGTGCTTATAAACCCCTAAAATTGCCACAGCAACTTTCAGTCGCTACCTAAAAAAAAAGTGAAAGCCGTTTACAACTCCCTGTAACGCCGAATTAGAGCGCAGCTCTTGAGGAGGAGGAGGAGGGAAGGGTACTGGGGGGTCAAGTGACCTTGAATGGGGGTCACGTGACCTAGGGGGTCACGTGACGATGACGATGCCGATGACGTCATCAGTAACGATGCCGATGCGGATACCGATGACGTCATCAGTGACGTCACTGATGACATCGTCAGTGGTGATGACAATGACGATGCGGATGCCGGTGACGTCATCAGTGATGATGCCGATGACGATGCGGATGCCGATGACGTCATCAGTGACGTCACTGATGACGTCATCAGTGATGATGACGCTGACGATGCGGATGCCGGTGACGTCATCAGTGACGTCACTGATGACGTCATCGGGGGTCACGTGACTTGGGGAGCCACGTGACTTTGGGTGTCACGTGACCTTAGGGGTCACGTGACCCTGGGGGAGGGGTCAGGTGACCTTTGGGATGACCTTTGAGGTCAAGTGACCTTGGGATGACCTTGGTTGCGCCGACGGCGACGGCGACGCCGCTCAAGCCGGGAGCGGGCCCCTAAGAGCTGCGCTCTAAAAATAACAAAGATTATACGATTAGTTTGTTTATAGATTCATATTATTCAATCGTGTATCGCTAACAACGAGTCACATTATCTGTATTTCAGCGCAAATTGGCTGTTTACGTTCAAACGTTGGTTTTGAGCTCATAATTTCTGTGTCTAAGATGTTTGAGCTCTCGAATCATTGCGAAACAACAAATGCATAGTTGGCTTTAAAAGTATAGTAGTTCATTAAGGTGGAGGTTCCAAGTTAAGTGCAGGCATTAAAGAAAACAGGTTTACGATGCACTTAAATTGAAATTATCATGGATGGTATCCTAGCTGCACGCATTTCTGCGTCAGTGGTTGAAACTATAATTTAAAAATCATCACAGGGCACACAGTTCAGTATTTCTCCGGCCGGGAAGTGTAATTTAAGTGATATCTACCTAAAGATGTAGTATGGTGACCTCTTTTTAAGCCCACATTTTGTACCCGTAATACGTCACACGCCACCACAGTAAAGCATGCGTTATTATAAAATTCTAAAAAAAGATAATTCATAACCTAAGTACTATAATTATTTAAACAAAAATTATCTATACACTATCGTATATAGAATAAGTAGCACGCTGCCTTTTAGCTGGGTCTACCTGTCTAAAAGTGCCCATGAACATGCATCGAGCGAATCTTTGCGATGGAAAGGAAATAACCAATTGTATAAAAGCGCAGAATATACATATTTACGCGAAAATATCATTGCTGTTGCGACGTTGATTGTCAAGTTTTGCCTGGTGATAATACATTACAGACACCATTTATTGAAACAAATATCTGCAAACCGTCATATGCTTCAAAAAAAGAGCAGAAATAGGGTGACCAGACGTCTCGTTTTGGCCGGGACAGTCCCGTTTTTGAGGTCCGCCTCTGCAGTCCCGTCTTTTTCTCCCAATAAAGAATCATGTCCCATTTTCGCAGGAGTGCATAGTTTTAAAATTGGCATCAAGCGAGTTGAAGCAAACCGAAACTACGCCTACTCGTCACAAGTATAGTTAACAAAAATTGCCAGAAAAATATTTACCGAGCGAGTAAAATTGAGGACTGCTCTTGCCCACAAACATCTTCCAAATAGGTGCATGAAACTGAACTGTGAGTGTGACTGCTCCAGGAATTAGTGCAATATGGTAAAGTTTTGGAATAGGGCCAGTTATTTAATTAAATTTGTTCCCCAATCTGGGTCTTTTGTACCCCTCCCCCCCCCCCCCTCCCTTCCCCCCGTTGTGATACCCAGCTTTCTGCCTTGAGGATTAGGGTCACCCTAAGTAGAAAGAACTCTCAGCCTAAAACATAAACATGAGCCTGAAAATGCCAAGCGCAAGACACTATCAACAATAAACCCATTACACGGGTAGCCTTCCTCAAGTAATCTGGACAATAAAAAACCGATCCTAAAGAAACAGGTAGCAATTGTCTCCTGAGTGCGAGGTTACCTCCGTACACCGCACATACAAGTGCCAGCATGCTTGCTTCGTTGTATGGGCCGATGATTCCATGGAGTTCATGGCCCTCTCCATCGCTGATAACTGGAGGTTCCGGAGGTGCTGCCATATGAACAAGATCAAAATAAAGTGTAAATAATTATGACGCCTACCAAAGCACCAGACAAAGTGCCGCTTATAAATTTACCTTTGAAGATTAGGAAAGTAAGAGGCAAAACACACAAGCGCTACAAAGTAGATTAAACTCCTACAATCTCTTTTTAGCGCAATTCGTCGTTACTCCTTTTACTGAACATTGATTTATCTTTAAAATAAAGTGTGGGGGTTTTATAACCCAGGCTTTCCGCGTGATAAAACACACAAAACAAGTTATTCAAGCCGAGAATTTGTTTTGCTTTTTTTGCCATAGTTATCTTATACAACCTTGAGGAAGTAAACTATTGTTGGATACATTTGTACCAACGCGCAATATACCTACGCGCACCGCACTTCCGTCGTGCGCGTAGGGGAGTGCATGTGCGACCGGTTGTGTTTATATGCAGAATTATATACAGGTGTGCACGCGTCATAGATGTTAGATTTTAACGGCGTGTGTGGGGGCCAACGGGCGCACATGCGGGTAATAAAAACCGTCCCTCTGGAAGTTTACACACCGTGAAAAGCCGTTCACCCACGTGTGACCAAGTAGGACACAGAAATACAAGACCGGTCTTCAAGCATCCTGCGACGACGTAGGACCGGACGCGCTGCCGTGGAGCGGGTCCTATGGCGTCGCAAGGTTTTAAAAGGCTCGAAGTACACTTAAGGACTTCTTATGAGTTGTGAATGCGAAATAATGCACGTCATTCTTCCGCTCCCTTGTTTCGTCTGCGGCGTATATGCGTCGACGGCAAAGCGAGCCCTCTCCTCGCCGCTCTGACTTTGGACGCTTCGTGCTACCGCCGCGCTGACGGACACGCAGCGCTATTGGGTGGTGGTCATTGAAACTGACGCGCAGTGGTCAATAGGAGCCTCGTCGACGCGCGCCAGCTAATGGGATCGAAGCCCAAATATATCAGCTTCACTCCGCTTCTTTGGGATCAGGAAACTACGTGCCATTGGCTAGACTTTTCGCGTGGTTTCACAGCTGGGAGATGGCATCACTTGGAGAAAAGATTTAAGGTGCCGTTTGGCGCGGCTTCAAAGCTGATGACGTCGGTTCGCTCCACGGGACCAGTTAATGCTTTCACATTAAAACGATCTTGTCTTTCTCGGTCCAGCTCGGTTGCTAGTGTGTGAACGGCGCTTCACTGTGTGACTACGAAACCCTCAAGATTTATGTCTAGAACGGTACACCCGACATAGGTTTTATTACAAGCATCGTTTCTTAATCTATTTCAAATCTTGTTAAAAACCTTATTTTCTTAGTTCCGGCCATGCAAAGGTCAATAACACATTACTATCAGAATAACTGGACCAAAAGCATGGTTTCATCCCGACCTGTGTATTTCTTTAGACACGATCATAATTTAATTAATACTAAGACGATAGAAAATAGTCCTTCTTTTGGTAAGCATTCATACATTTAAACTGCTACTTTGGGCATAAAGCCGTTATGACCTAAGAGGCACTCTGCTTAGGATAATTTTTTGCACTTATATTTGTCATGTAGCGAAAAACAGGCGAATTAAATGTAATCTCCCCTAAAATTGTGAAAATTGATGTTTATTGTATCGACTTATGCCTAAGTTCTCTACATATAAAAAAGCTTTATTTTGAAATATTTTGTTCACAGAGTAATAACCTAAACTGACCTGAAAACATGTACATTCCAAAATGCAATTAAGTGAATTTTAGTGGAACGTGGCCCTGGAGAAATCTGGAGGACAACGTTCTCAACGTTTTTTAGGGGAAGCGGAAATGTGAGTTGCCTTGGCTCAACAATAACACAAAGACAAATCAAAACAGATAAACCTAATATTAAGGCTTCCATGAGTCAAGTCACGTACGGAAGCTTTCCGGAGACAAACAACGCACATACAGATGCGATGTTTACGTGCCTAGAATCAATAACCGCTTTGACGAAATCATGGAGGCTTCCAACCCCACGTGTCTGGGACACGTCTGCCAAAATCAATGTACTGAGATAACTCATGGTTTGCAACACGTCATTGTTGGTTGTGAAATCTGTCAAAACGTGCTATAGATTATCGAAGTTATCCTTGGGAAATGCTGAAAAGAGAAGTGAGATCTTAGCATCGAGCTTGTTGAATTTGGGATCTTGCTCTGCAAAGCGTTATGCAACGGCTACCTTGGTCATAAATTGTGAGAAGTAAAGGTCCTCCGGGGCCACTGATTTGTTTCGGTTTCACATTTTAGCCCATTTTAGGCAACGTTAATGGAGTGTGCTTGAAGAAAGATAATTTGCAAGGCTCGAAAAGTACGTAGTTAAATTACCCGGGTTGTTCTATAGTCTGTTGCAACTCAGGAAGGTAGGGCGAGGGTAAGATGGGCGGGGAGGAGGAATCAGACGGAACGTTGGTGATAGGAGGAGAACCTCCTCCTCTCTTTAGCGTTCCGTCTGCTTCCTCCTCCCCGGCCAGTCTTACCCTCGCCCTACCTTCTTGAGTTTCAACGGAATATACGGCAAAATCGGACTTGCAGAAGGAGTTGTATTTCACGGCTAAAATGCTCAAATATATCTCAAATTTAGTATAACTTAAATATTTTGAGTTGTGTTTTTCGGGAGTAGGTATATTTTTTCTCCTTCATATGGAGTGCGGTGAAACGCTAGACTTTTTTAAAAAAGGGTCAACCGATTCAACGTTTAATGCCGCGGGGCAGCTTTTATACTTGTTCAGAGCAGAGATTGCTTAAGGTGAACACATAAAGACGGTAGCACCTCCACATAACGCAGCTTTATGGACACCATCTGCTCGAAGCATCGACTATGCTTTGACTAAAGTTAAAATAGAGCACATAAAATGTATTCCTCTTACTCTCTGTCAACACAAGTGTTTACGCTGCATGTCTTAAACCCGCGGAGATTTTATGATTTTGTTTATATTAAAATAGAAACAAAAATTAGTCTCATTGCGAGCTGCACTAAATGAAAAAGAAAGATCAGTTGATCACTACCATAAATGAGACCTTTGTTAATATCTTCCTCAAATATTTTCTTAATGATTTTGTTTTCAGGGCTTTTTTGATATTGTAGGACTCCGAAAATAAAACCAATGGTTTAATATTAAAAACAAAATGTGAATTTAATTGTAGCTGGCATTTAAAAACCTCGTAGAATTGTTTATATTATGGAGGACTACAGGTTTGAATAGACGTGACACGTCAGAGTACCAGAGTAAGTTTTCGGAATACATGCAACTTTCATGGGTATTCCTAAAACTATACTCGATAGAACAAAGCAGAGCGCTGCGCATTGAACTAAATATATCGCAACTACCAGAAGCCCAAATCCAGAATATCTTTTAACAATATAATCATGTCTCGTAAAAGAATCAAATATAAAATTCAAATTATTACTTTCCACTTATCTGAAGCCATTGGCATGAATGCCAAAGCATTGTATCAGCACACAACTGTATCACGTGCCTGTGCATTATCGTAACACATCGGCTGAGGAAACGCCAACAGAAAATTGCCCACTTTTATCTACCTTTTAAAATATCAGTTGGATCTTGGGCGTCGTGCGAAAGTTGTGAAACTATTATGGCATCAGATACTAACAAAATCAACTAGAACAATTCCGCCTATCTATTTCAGAACGTCGGCGCATAAACGGATCCGACGTGCCTCGTTCCCGTCGATTGAACAAACCATATACACTGATAGTTTTGATCTATATAAGTAATGAATTTTTATCGATATAAATCCGTCTGTCGCCGGAAGAATAATATTAATAAATTATATACGTTGTAACCTCTGCTTAGTGTGTTTGGTATCTTTAAGCGGGTCGGTGCCATTCGATTCGTGATACAGGTGCTGCCGGCGCTTTAGAATTGAGTAATTGGCTCATTTCCCTCAAGTGAGACATACTATTCATGCAAAATTGATTCCATGAAGCTGAGTTTGGATTTGGTTCCGCCAATATTTATTTTATTATTGTCTTATTTTTTGTTCATGGCCATAACCAATAAAGAAATATTATATTATTATTAAGAATTATAATATATTTTTTTCAATAAAGTGCCTTTTTATGTTGCACAGTCATGCATTTTAGGCGGAATAAAGAGTGTCTACAGGTGCCTATTTAATAATAATGATAATTTTGTCTGGGCTCGACACGCTATCATAATTCACCTTTACATTGTTTTCATTGCGAACTGCTTTAAAGATAAGAAAGGTCAAGCCACTCCCTGATTTTAATTTGTTGCACAAAAAATAGCGCAGAAACGTAAGTCCAGTAAACTGAAAGAATAATCGCGAGAAAAAAAAATTCGAAAAAATGTAAAGATAATTTACAGCTTTGAACAACACAGTTTAGAAGACACAAGGCTGTTATACTCATAAAGTTTTAAAACAATTGACATACACAATGCAGTATGTGCAAATGAAGCCTATTCGTCTTAGTAGGTCTTGATAAAATTTAGAGTTACACATCTCTATCCAAACTGTTTTGACACCCAACAAGCTTGATCATTGTTTAAATAGAAAAGAAAAGAACACATCTAAATGACAAAATATTTTTATTGTAACGTTGATACTAGGTTTAGAATTAAATACTCGCTTTATCTAAAAACAACCCTTAAACCACACTTTTTTGCTCTTTTCCGACTCAAGATTTTCACATTCCACATGTTTTTGGAACGAATAGGTTCTTTAGACTTGTTTAATTGAAGAAAGATGTTCACAAAGCAGACGTCTGTCGGTACGGATGCATAAAATTACGCTCAAGAAAGAACAAAAATAGAACATACTTGTCACTGATCTTACTCCTGCACGTCTAATCAATATTACTTGCAAGAGCCAGCAAGTCAAGTTATATTAAGCCTATCTTACACTTAGGTGGAGGATCACACTTTTCCGCGACCTGAAACACAATATTTAACATAATTTAATGTGCAAACTTTCTTCCCCCAAAAAACGTCCACAAATAAAACACTCAAGACCTCCAACGCTCTTAGATGACCACTAATCGTGGCCTTCTTGGCTATTCAATTGTTGGTCTGTTCGTTAATCAAAGCTCAAATACTGCTACAGAGTACAAGTATAAAGAAATCGCAACTGCATGAACACGCGTGACTCACCGAGGACGTGCAGTCGCACTGTTGAATTCCTGCGAGCACCGTCCCTGAACACGGCGGTGCAGGTGTACACCCCAGCATCCTCAAACCGCACACTGTTCACTTTCAAAGATGCCGGGTGTCCGATAATGGAGAAGTAAGCTCTCCCGACCCAGCCCTGACCAGCAGTTCGGTTCACTTGAAGCAGGTTGTTCCCACGACCGGTTCCGTATTCGTGAACGGTGGCTGCGTCTGCCGTCAGACTGGGGTCAGAACCGAAGTCCACCGTGTATATGGGCTCTTGGCTCGAACCCCGGTGATGTGGGCCAGTTTCTATTCCAGGGGTCACGTGGTAGCTCTTCTCAGGCTGGTGGTACCAGTGGACGACCGCCAGAGAGTCGTTGGAAGAGGCGCTGCGGAGGTCGCAGGGCAGCTCCGTCTGGTGGCCTTCGCGGACGATGAGACGTTTCGACGTTCCTGAAACAAAACAGAAAGAAAATAACTCTCGTGGTGAACTAGTGTATAACGAATCATATCTACATTATTCGAAATCCTGGGTGTTTACCTTTCCACAAACAACTTAGAAAACCCAATCCCTACAATCCACGGGGGAAAAAAATCGGGGAATGGCGGGGCAGGAAACAAGTTTATACCTAAGAAACTGGGCTGCGCTCAGGCACTTAGCGCCACATTTAATCATATTCAGTGCTCCAGCGCAAACTGTTTCGATGGGTCTAAACATATTTGCAGCCTCCTCATATGCCCAACTTTCTCTCTAGATTGCGGCAATTGGCTGTTCCAATTGCTTGGCAGAACGGACATTGTCCAGATTTTTTAATATTTCAGTATGAACCATTTCAATAATCGCCTTCACGGCGCCGCCATCTTTGTGTGCTGGGCTGAGAAACGCGTTCTGAGTACGTACAATAGCTGTCGTCTGCGAAAATTCAGACGTCGCGCATGCGTCCACAGTGAAGTGATTCGGCATTTGCCGCCTTTGGCTCCGCAAGAAGCAGTAAAGCATGGCGAGGTATTCTCTTAAATACGGAGTTCAAACATTCATCATTGAGAGAGTTAATAAGCAGGGCGATGCTGCAGTTTTTACATAGATGTAATAATAATAATAATTTTTATTTTGGGGTGCCCAAAAACAACATACATTGGTCTTCTTATTGGTGCATCAACAGAAGCAAAATGAGCAATCAAGTACATAGGCTCTAAATATTTCCTTAAAAGATACAACATCCCAGACAAACATAATGCTAAGGGCTAGAATAATATCATTTAAATCACGGCGGTATATAGAAATTGATGCAGATATATCAAGGTTGTATGCGATATGCGAATGGCGAAAGGAACAACAACTAACGTTTGATGTGATACTACATCTAAGATATCAACACTTTGAACACTTGATACTAGGGACAAAAGGTGGACTACGCACAAAATTTGTTCCTACAAAACAAACATACCCCAAGCTGTACGTTTACCACTGGCAAGATAGTGTTGACGTTATCAATACATATTAAAAATGTTTGCATAAAATATTGTAATGTTCGATTTTTAGAAATGTGTTTTTTGACTGAATATAACTAAACTGAGTTTTTCTAGTTACCTGTAATAAAATTCGTTTTTTAGATAAAGAAGTTTATATAGTTTTTTCATAGATTATGAATATTATAAGTAAAGTCGTATCTTTGACTTTTTCTACGCTTTCTTCTAGGTCTTGTGCTTCCTAAGGGCAATGAAAGAAGGAAATTTAGATGTTATTTTAGTTTATGTTCCTTTGTGTTCTTGCACATGTGCACTTGTCCTCAATATGCCACAGTTCAGCCGTTTTTTTTAGCACGTTTGTGTAACGTAATGGCGTCTACGTAATTTAGTGTCTACCGCATATATTGGAGTAATTTTATTTCACCTACAGTGCTTTAATTCAAGATTGGTCTTCTAGTGTAAACTTTTACCGTTTGTGTTTTTTTTCTCTTTTTTATTGCATTACGTCTTCAATTTAATAACCCCCCCTTGCTCATAGTCTCAATTTAAAAGCTTATGAATTCTCCCTACTCTAAATGGGAAAAAATAATAATCATATTTACTGCCGCAACCTGCTTTAAATTTTATATAAATTCAGACCGTTTTTTATTTTATATAAAATAACTGCACATATTAGAAAAGCAGTAAAAACCATTAAAAAACGTTGCATTTTTTTAGTTCAGGAGTTTGAAAAGTCAGAATTCCTTTCATTTTTACATTTTGGGCATGTTACCAAACATGACCTCAGAAACATTTAGTGTTTTGTTTTTATAATTTTACCTGTACACACCAGAGTGCAGAAATAGCAGAATTTTATCTTAGCACAGACACAATCTGTTTTGAGAAATGTCCACGGTACCATCCTGTGTGCTTGATTAATATATGAACGTAAAACCCTCCTAATTGTGTACTTAACTCTTTAGACTAAAACCACTGAATATACTTTCAATGACTTTTTTATATAGTCACGAATTAACGTCTGTTACTGCACAACTTTCGTATTCGCCTGTAATTGCTGCCATCAGGCGCTTAGGATAAAAACGTTACACTTTCGCCCCTCTCTCCCCCCCCCCCCCCCCTCCTCCCCGTCCCATTTCCCGGCAGAGTCTGTAATTCTGTCATCCCTAATCCCGTCACTTGTCCCACTCCCTGCTCTTACGCAGACATTGTGAACCCTTTTCCGGGGCGCCGCCCCTCTGACAGGTTTCTTCTTGAGGTACGAAATCCCCACTCTTATATAGGCCTAATTTGCGCCATGTCGTCCCAAAATGTGACATTCACGAGACAGTTCTGTCCCTTTACCCCTGTGCTTAACCTCCTCAAGGCATACTACATTACCGTAAGAAGTGGCATCAAATGACGCATTTATTCATTCTTTTACCCTAGTGCATCCCCATAATATGATTAAACATTGCCGCGCCTGAAGCCTGCGCTTTGCCGTGCACTTCCTAGAGATAAGCACCCACGCCTCTCACATTGACGCGATGTCATTTGCTGACGTTTCGCCCGCTCGACTCTGCGTGGTCCTCGGTCGTAACGCAGTTGAAACATTTTGTTCGAGGTCATAAAACAGGACGCTAGAAAACAAAACCAAACGACGCACCAATCACAACACCAAACAGTTAAACGATTACGCAGTGAAAGATGGTTAACAGCAATATTTGCTGCTGGACTTGGCGAACTTTCCTTCCCTTTCTCACAAACCGACTTTCGCGTACGACTTCCCTAATTTTTGTATACAATACACTTACGAGCGGAAAATTTGCTGCCGGCAGAACACGGAATTAAATAGAACACCCTTTCACGTTAAAATCTTCCGTTTTCAAGGGATCGTCTTTATTCATTTCAATGCTCCCATATTGGCGTGGCCTCGGGTGTCAGTGTTGTCGTCATAATTTGTTCTTCTGGAGGGTCGTTATTTGCTTTTCTACCAGTGTACGGAAGCAAAAGAATGGTTGACTTTAAAAGGACAGAAGTTCACAATAGCTGGATGATCTAGAACTACGCTTAAACCGTTCTTCGGGGCGAGAGTACGCACCTGCTTTTCATAGCCTTCGTTGAAATACCGCGAATATTCCCTTTTCGTATACTCTGACTCGAAGGATGCCGTGTTTGTAGGGCAAGTATCTAACATTTTCCCAATGTGCGTTAAGCTGTCTAATGTAGGCTAAGTTAGAGAGAGTTGAGAAGGCGAAGAGATTGCGAGGAAGCGAATTGAGAAAAAAAAACGGACGTAAGCCTCGTTGAATGGGGAAAAGAGATTCAAGCTAACAGTGTGCGCTCAGCAGCCAAGCGGTGTAATTATAAAGTAAGTAGATGTGGTATAAAAACAATCGTGTCTGTGTGTAGTGTGCACCATTGAGTTCCCCGTAGAAGAAGCCGCCCCTTACGGGGGAGGAAGTGTCGGTACAAAAATGCCGTTGTGGCAGATGCGGAAAGGCAACTCAACATCATCCAAATAAATTAGTTTATTTTTATTGTGCGTAATACTTCCTTGGTATCCTCTACTAACCTCCCACTGGTGTCTTGAAAGGGACAGCTCAGAAAGGACCCATAAATGTATTGCATTGAATGCGTCTTTGGTTTGTATCAAAGAGGCAGGTAGTTTTTATTCTTCCTTCGAACGTATTTCATTAGTTAATGGAAGCTCGCATCGGGGATTTCAGCAACTAAATAAAATAAAACAATACGTTCATATCTGCTACTACCTTGGAAGCACTAGACGCACAATGTAAGATATCAAAAGATGTCAGGATTTTTAATCCCCACCACATTGTGGAAGGCGTAAAACAACATAAGGGACTGCGCGTTCGGATTAAATATTTCTTAAGCAAAATTATTGTGAACTTAAATTACATGAACTATTTTGATGACTTAATACTTGTAATGTTTAGTTTTTTGGTGCGATTTTTTACCGATCCATTTTGTGATTGAAACGTGTTCATTATTTTTAGATTAAAGTGCAGTAGTTGTTCCTATAAAAAAAGAGTATGCAAGGTATATTCAAAAACAATACTTGTAAACTGCTACAAGTACAATTCACTCTTGATTTTAGCAACTACTTATTTGGTTTACAGATTAAGAATTATTAAGAACTAATTGTTGTTGTAGGCAGTGTTTTTCTATGGATCATTTCAAGAGTAAAATATTTTGGCCATTGAGTCCCTTCTTAATATGCGTGTTTTAGGGCAGAGTGCAAATGCTGTATTACATTTGGCATATGTATTATTACAACGCAATTTTGTAAATAAAATGTTAGTCTCTGGAAGCCAGAATTCAAATCATTACAAATGATTAGTTGTATTGTATGAAGTTTTTATATTCGTCCCATTATACTTCACACTTTATGGCGAGCATGCGATCACTTGAAGACATCCGGCCACGAACATTTGACTTTTCTGTATATCCCAGTTGTTACAATTCTAAAGACTTAAAAATGTCTGTATAATAATTGACGTCGCACTAAAACTCGACAAATAATTTGGCTGCGAAGATGATCGCTCTACTTTCTTTAGAAAAAAGCGGGCCACGAGCAAAATATGTTTTTCAGTGACTGTTAGGTAAATGTAAAATGCCAGCTTTGTAGGAAACTACGTACTACACCTGTAATGAAAAACAAAACGACGGTCTGACCAGTACAAAATACATTAGTGCTGTCAATACAAGCGTGACAAGAACAAAAAAACTGGTTGACGCCTGCACTGGCAACTCCACAGCTCGTAAGACTGGCAAAGTCAACAACAACAAAAATAGAACTCGCTTTCAGCATCAAAATCCAAAATACAATATGTATGGTATGGAGATAAGTGTGAAAGTAATTCCCTCTGGGAGTCAGCAGCTGTCTCAAGTAACCGGCCATTTCCTGGTGTGTAGTGTTTCCAATCAATGCCGGCTCTCTTCGAATGGGCGCTGTCAACTGTAATTGCCCATTCCTTTTC